AGCCCAAAGCATGATCGATCACCCCGTGCTTGACAATTCATCTTCACTCATTCTCTTATTCACAGTAATGGGCTTTCACACCTTACTGCAGCTATGTGAAAGTTGGGCTCTGATATGCAATCAGGACCACAAACTGGTAATATCTTGAGTATAGGGTATGTTTACTTTGGTGTTCTGCCTGGGTCAAAGTGAGTTCATTAAGACTGCATAAGAACTAAGCGGGAACAAAAAAGTCACACTGTAAATTAGTTCAGTGTCCTGCTTCTGAAACTCCAAAATGGTAGTTTAAAAACAAAACATAAAGCTTTAATATCAACAATATGAGTGACCATGCTTTACATGAATTTGCATGCAGCTATGTTTTCTCTGCAGATAAATACTACTCTACAAACCTTTCCAAAAATTCAATCTGTCTGTGGGAGTACGATAAAGGCTTACACAAGCTCATCTGATATGGCTGTCAGGGGTACGCTGAAAAGGACTAGAGACCACTAATTTAAATTATATATCAAATACAACAACCTCATAGGAAAGGAGGGGAGGCAGGGGGAGGATGGTAACAGTCCTTAATAGAATGAATGAAATCAAAACTAGAACAAAGAAAGTGCGTGCTTTATCCTTAAAGAATCATTTGTTTTAAAAAAAAATCATTTTCTCTTGTTTTACTCTTTTCTTAAATCTTCTCCGGGAGCTCAGCTGTCAGTTCTAATGTTTTACCCGGAATAACCGCACCATAAGAATCACGTCAACTCATATCTACTTTTGCAGGTCAGCCATGTCCAGAGGGATGATGGTTAAAGCTTAGCTTAGCAGCTGCAGACAGTAAATGCTTTGGACTAAATTTTAAAGATGAAAAAGTGCCAGTCATATCTGGTCAATCACTACAGGAAAAAAAAATAGTCTTATGAAAAAGTACTCAGGCGTCAAACCTTCAATTAATGCATTCATTAATTAGCTGCAAGTGTCCAAGTGTGCTGAAAGCCCTAATGAGGGTTAGACAGTCCTCTTGAATAATAGGAGCTTTTCCCATTTTCATTTTTTTGTATTTTCCAATTTAAAAAAACTGGAGCATCACACACAAAAGCTAATGGAAAAACGTATGAGACTGTGACCAGCACAGCCAGATCTTACCTCACATTCAACTTGCTGAGGCTGCACAGACCAGTCTTCATGCCTTCCACTGCACTTGTGATGTATGTGAGGCCCTACTCATGCTCCCCCATCCCAACTCATGGAGCGCCAATAAAAGCATGATGAAAATCAAGCTGTTCACCAGCCGCATGCCCAATTAAGCCCCAGTGTTTACAATGCTATCACAGAGAGAGTCTAACTGGGAGAGCTGGATTGCACCTCCTTCTTATTCAGATGCCTGCCAGGGCCTGTTAGCTGTATGAGTTCAGTGAGATGTAAAGAGACTCCAGGAGCGCACGGGAGACTCGGGATGCCTCACAACGCCGCTTTTCATCAGCTTCAAGCCATCTGCATTCAATCCTGTGGAGAGATGTGGAGACATTACTGGATGGATGGGACGAGAATAAGATGAGTGAGGGCAGAAAATGCATGAGGAGGGAGGAAGAAGATGATGGCTCACACGAAGAAATGCATGTCTGCCGTTCCTTTCACCAAACACTGAAGTCATGTAGCAGCATTTTTTGTTTTTTATGAAATTTGTGGCTTGTTGTTTAAACTTAACCTTTTCAGTAAAAGGAAAACTCGAACTTCTATGTCTCAAAGGGAATTTTCTATGTAGTAACTGATTGTATCTTTTCATTATTATTTCTTTTTTCAGACAGCAATATCATATGATATATCTTTGGTTCTGAATTGCCTGATTAGAGCTTAATTAGTTTTCCATATGAAAACATTGCTTTGTAAACTCACAAAGTCTTCACAAGACTTTACAACAAAGCCCTCTGGCACTTTTGTAGAGGGGACTCTGTCGATTTTTCATAAGCTGGACTTAGCAGGAATGCACCCAAACATCCACAAAGCAGAGAAAGAAGACACTGGGATTTAGCTGAGTTAGTGAGCTGACATACTGGAGTCAACAAATCATCTTATGGCTGGAACTGTGTCGGGGCAAAGACATCCTAGTGTAGCAGTTTGAGCCTGCTGGGCTTTAAGGAGGATTCATCAGTTGTGCTCTTTAACTAACAACCACTATATGTCCAGTGTAATGGTTAGTGAACGCATAATTTAATTAAAAAGCACAGTGTTGCTGCTCCACATAAGAGTAGGATGTTTACCTGACTTCATTAATGTTTAAATTCTGTGTTTAGTTTTGAATAATCTCCAGGTTGGTGCACTGTAGCCCCTCTGTCTGTATGATTAGTAATTCTTTTTATCTGGACTGGCACATGACTGAACCGAAGTTTAGTCACAACCTCATTTCTAACAAAACTGTTACAACTTCCTCTGAGTTTATCCCTTATTTTCACACAATGAGCCCTAAGAAGTCATGCTGTTCCACCTGGGAGTTCTAGATAATAAACATGCTGCTATTTCTGTTTATATATATAAATGTAATAAAGTTATTTTAAACACCAGTGGCCCTGGGGTGGAAATAAATGATTTAAAATAATTGGGTTTGCAAAATAATGTAACAATACTTGCAATGCACAAATGCCGATGGCATTTTAGTTCTAAACTGAGTTGTAGTAGCTTTTTTTCATCGTACTTTGCATACAGAAAGCCTCATATTTTTTCCCCACTGTTGTTGTCACAGTGCAATAGAGCATCTTATTCCACACATTTGTGCTTTTTTGGTATTTGATTTAATGTAAAAACAAACTTTCTCAATGCTTTTTCATGTGAGCATTTACAGTTAACAAAGCAAACAAACAAACAAAAGAAAATATTTTGATTAGTCATGACTAATGGTTCATTAGTTATGATCACAGATAGTATAAAATGTGGACGTGGTTTCTGACGAAGTCACTCAAACCTGCATTCTACTCAAGGCCACCAGATGGCGATAGTGGTAGTTACAATAAAACTTCCAGGATTATAGAACTCTGTGGGAAAACATCCCTCTGACTTGACATCTATCAACACTTTTCTCATAATTTTATGTTCTCAGTTACTAATTTCGGGGTCACGTTGTATAAAAAATCAAGTTTGTTTTGTAAATCTTGGTCATACCATGTGTCAAAATGAAGAATTATCTGTGGTATGAAACTTCTGGCTCATTGGCTAATGACCTGTCAGTCAGCTCGTTAGGTAATGATTATGTGCTTTTGCAGTCAGACCTGCCCCCCTTTATCATACCCAGGTTTTTGCAGCCAAAATGTTGACAGCAGGCTTCAAAATGGGACTTCATAAGCCAGTGGGCGATGTCATAGTAGATACATTATCCACTGTATCTAAGGAAACTGTCTAAAATTAAGATTAATATTATATTTTTTATGACAAGATGCACAGTATCCATATGAAATACAGAGTACAAAATCATAACACAAAGATGGCAGTATGCAAATGAAGCAGATTAAAACAGAGCTATTTTTTAAGTGCAAGAGTTACAGTGACAACAGACATTAAACATGAATGGTTTTTAAAGCCTTTTCAAATTAAAAAAAAAAAGAGTTCCGTTTCCTTCATGAAAATAGGGAAGTGTGAGTCTATAGCTCAGATTAGCACAGACATGCACAGTAAGCATTTGAGGAAGATTGAGATGTGCAGCGCATGGGATAATCATAATCTACTGTCTTCTTACAAGTGCCATCAGACATGTTCCTTCATTTATTTCCCTTTATACAGAAAAGGAAATGTTTGTGTGTGTGTGTGTGTGTGTGTGTGTGTGTGTGTGTGTGTGTGTGTGTGTGTGTGTGTGTGTGTGTGTGTGTTACAGTGTAAAACCACTCTTTGACTTAGCTCAATTAGTGGAACCTAGTGGAAAGTATTAGCTGTAGCTAAGTTGCTACCAAAGCAGTAGGGTTTCATTAACCTTTTATCATAGTACCATACAGGATCACTGGACTTGTCATTCTGGCTGTTAAATTACAAAATAATTCTCATCTTTCAGGAACGATTTGGATTTTTTTCCTAGTCTAAAATGGTTAAAGAGTTATAGTAATGTGAAGCTCACATGGTAAAATGTAGGCAGAGCTGATTTTTCTGTGTTCAGATGGTACTGCTTTGTAAATACTTTGTGTTACTGTGATAAACTGAATATCCCCCATAAAGTATGTCTTCTCTTCTTTTAGAAACCATTGAGTTTTGTCTCTAGCAGAAACAGTAACGCAGCTACGGTCAGTAAAATAGTGCTTGTAAAATGGTCCTGCCACTAGAAAGGGTTAAATTGGCTTTACTGGCTAATTAAGCCAAAATAGTTATTGTGAATATATTTCACTGGAGGGAAATGAGTAGTACTGAACCTGATACTTGGGTTTTAGTCAGTACAGTAATGCATTGCAGTACAATACAAAAAGCCTTTTTATAATGGCTCTGCCTGAAGGTGCCATTTTGGCTGCTGCTATGTTGCGTTTTGTGGGCAGACGTAATAATATCAGCTAATTTAGAAGTTAAGTTAGCAAGCTACATCCATAAATTGTATGGGTGCAAAGGCACATATCTCATAATTACTGCAGTAACAGCATAAATCACTAACATTTCATTCAGGCCACACAAAAAGCAATTTTATTGGTTAAATAATTCAATTAAAATGCTCCAAAAACCATCAAGACCGCAAACATGGTCAAGAGGTCCTGTTCAGGGACTCCAATTAGCGATGGTGAGGAAAGAGCGGTGAGCTGTAGTGACCTGTTTCAGCAATTCTGTCCATCACAGCAGCCATGCACCCTACTTTAAGCCTCACCAGTACTCTGTCCAAATAAATTAGCTATTTAAAAATAAAATGTACCAACTGTACAGTTTCGGTGAAAGGGGATACTTTCCAGAAAACAAAACTATTCACGAACCATGTTGTAAATGTTTCTTTCAGCTAATAAGTTGGTCTCTTTAGTGTGTATGTGTATGGAAACGGGATTGCTTGTGGACTCCTCCACTCCTGTAGGTCCTCAACAAAGACACCTGTGTTGTTTCTTGCTGCTCTCCTTTACTGCAAGACTAAAACAAAACAATAGTAAGTAAACTCTCTCTTTTACTTTCAGACTGAGTGTATGCTATCTTCATATACAGTACGCATTGTTATTGTATGTTTGCATGGTTCATTAAGACTTGTGAGTGTTTTGTATCTATGTTTATTTGTATGTGTCTAATTTCTATGCTGAGTTTTGGGTTGTTTAGGGTTTTTGTTGTTGTTTTGGTACATATGTTTTGAGTATACAGACCAAACCAATATTTAATTACAGTTTTTGTATTTTTTACATTTAAGGTCAGTTTTTAAAGGTTTTTGTAAATTTAAAAAAAGTTCCCTGCTGCTTCAAATTAAAAGAGAGTTTTTCCTTCCCACCGTCACAAAGTGCTCGCTCCTCAGCAGTCACTTGATTGTTAAAGTTTTCTCCAGAAAATTGTACAATATGGTAATATTGTAGTTCTGGGTTATTTGGTGACCTTGTGGATGAGTCATTGATGCCTTCTTGGAGTAGTTTTGAGTGGACGACTACTGGAAAGGTTCCCTACTGTTCCAAGTTTGCTCCATTTGTGGATAATGGCTCTCATTGTTGTTCACTGAAGTCCCGAATCCTTAACCTGGAGAGTCTTGGGTCGATTTGTGGCTATTTTCAAATTTCGATTACATGCCATTTGCACAGTGTTGAATGGAATATAGCGAAAGTCTGCAAAAAAAAAGTTCGGTCACATTTACTGTTAAAATTTCAGTATGACTTCCGGAAATTAGCTTCAGTGGCTAAGCTAGCGATAAACTTACACTATCGGTCCTAGTGGTCGATTTGTGCCCCATTGAAACCCATTATAAACGCTATTTTTCACGGCAAAAAAATTACGGTCAAATCGATCGTGATCGGTTATGTTTCCGCTTCCGCTTGCAGTACTGGCCTTAGAGTTGTAATTTTTTTATTTGTCCACCGGGTGGCGCCCTTGCTCCACATGTGACGCCTGCTGGAACATACACATGTTCTCCAGCGGCCTGCTCGAGACAGATACCCGGAAAAGGCAGACTAATTTCCCGCGTACAGCAGCAGCTTGGCCCGCTGCTCGTTCTGGACCATTTTCTGACCTTAGGATCATTTGAGGGTGCATTAATTTTTTTTAATCAACAGGAAATGACGTATTTGTTTTCACGTGGTAGCGGAAGTGTGTGCTGCAGACACGGGAACCGAACCAAACACACCCGCGGCAGAGGCACTCCTCCCCGGGGGAGCAGGAGCAGCAGCGCCGCCTGGGGACATTTTTGGCTTCTGGAAAAAAAATTAAAACCGGATCGAAATTAATGTTGGTGCCAATCTTTTGTCCATCTAAAGGCCTAATTATAATAACAATAAAATATTACTTCAAATGTTTTTTTTGGAAAATATTTTATGTTTTATGTTTTATGTTTTTGGGGCAAAAAAAGCAGTGCGCTCATGTGACGAAACCGGGATATAAAGGGTTAAAATCCGCGAAATGTAATTAAAACTTGACATGAATATTTCAAGGAGAAGTAGGTCTAAAAGATTGGCTAATTTAAAGTGGAATAAAATATTAATATATAAATTTTTTATAGCACTTTTTGGGCGTGGTCGATAGTGTGCATTTTATGAAATGCGCTCCTGGAAAAAAAATAAAAGGCGATCGAAATGACTCTTGGTGCCAATCTTTAGTCCATCTAAAGGCCTAATTATAATAACAATTGAATATTACCTCAAATGTTTTTTTTGGAAAATATTCAAGTTTTTTGTTTTTTGGGGCAAAAAAAGCAGTGCGCTCATGTGACGAAACCGGGATATAAAGGGTTAAAATCCGCGAAATGTAATTAAAACTTGACATGAATATTTCAAGGAGAAGTAGGTCTAAAAGATTGGCTAATTTAAAGTGGAAAAAAATATTAATATATAAATTTTTTATAGCACTTTTTTGGGCGTGGTCGATTTGTGGCTCTAAGACCGATAGTGTATGCATTTTTCTAAGACCCTCCAGGGGTGCTTTTGTAACCTTTTCCAGACTTATAGATGCCAATGAATTTGCTTCTCTGCTGGATTCTTTTGAGACATTTTAGCCTACCTCTCTTTGCCAGACAAGTTCGACATAAATCATTTCTTGGTTCAATAGGTTTAGTAGAACTCAGGCCTGGGGGTGAACTGAACTCAGCTTTCCAAAACTAAAACTGGTTAATCATTTGTTTTCAATCATTCATCAAACAAATCAGTTTGTTTGATAAACTGGAACATTTAAATGCAAATATACAAAAGAAATTGCAAATGCTTTTTCACAACACTGTGGCTTTGTGAAAAGGACCTTGTGTTAAGAAATCAGATGAAAACATCATTCTCAATAAAAGCTTAGACATAAAGAAGACTCTTGAAGTGTTGGCTCAAATCAGGATTTTTTGTGTGACTCCCAAATCTGTGTCCATAAACCAGTGTAGCATGTGATGCTTAGTAATTCTGCACCAGTCCAACATAATAACTGTATCCCCCAGCTTAATCTTGCAAACTGAATGAGTAAGCTAATATACACTAAGTTGCTTCATATCTCCACTACAATGCTTTCTGTTAAAGATTAGACATACTTCTCCTAATTGGTTCTGACATCAGAACAGATCTAATCTAGCCTGGAAATTTTATTTCATCATTTTTGCAGCCTCGGCAGGTTCAGCTCAAAGTGTCATGTGCGCTGTTGTTTGACAATGTCAAATATTGCATTATAAATATATACAAAGTGCAGATATATACTATACTTTTGTGAGATATAGCCTTTGCTGCCTTGGTAACACACTCTCATATTTTGAAATATTATAATAAACAACAAAAGAGTTGAAACAAGAAAGAAAATGTCCCCACCTGCTGGTCCAAACGATGCTGTTTGCAAACTGGTCCGCCATTTTTCAAATGTACTTGCCATGAAAAAGATCCAAAGTTAATCCTCTGTAATTCCTAAATAATGTGGATTATAATTTGTATACAACTATCTTTGAATGCCTGGATTTGAATGTTTTTATTTCATAACTCATTTGAATACCTTAAACAAAAAGGGCCAGTGTCCAATTATATGGGCTGAGCTGTAAAAGCCATATTTTGCAGTTGCCATGCAGTAGCTGAGATCTTAGTTTTGGTTTAGTGGAAGTTGGCACGTGTTTGTGAGTGGCTACAAGCATGAAGTAGCCTGTGTGACTTTGGCTGCAGAACAGCATTTTAGCCAGCAGCGAGAGGGTGACATGCTGGTTGGATATAAGGGGATCCCACTGAGAAAAACGATGCAGAGCAGGGAGCAGGGCACACTGGCTTAATCCTCAATCAGTGTGGAAGAGCTGAGCAAAGCAATAGGCACATGTGAGGGGAGGAACTAAACCTGAGGCACAGGAAACAAGAGGTTACTGGGAATTAAAAAACAAGAGTCACCCATGAGATTTAGATTTGGCTTGCCCACAGGCTACACTACCATGCTGGTGATGATTTAATGGAAAATGAGTTTAAATACTGCTGGAGGTGAAGACTGGATGAATCAAATGTCCAAGTCCACTGACCGAAGAGTTGGAGGAACCAATTAAAAAAGTGTCTGATCTTACCAAGAAATAACTTCATGCCATGGACGTACCTGGTGAGCTGATTGGGTGGCAGGCAGTTATTTTACACTTGTTGCTCTCTAATCTCGAGCCTAACCTGCTCCAGTCTGGGTTAGGTCTCAACATAAGTTGCCATGGCAATCTAACCTTGTAACTGAACCCCTTTCATAAATAAAAAGACACAGTTAACCTTGAATGTACCAGGAAATTAGCCCCAATCCCACTTTGAAATGAGAGCCTCTAGCTTGAGCTCTGTCATTAGTTAAAGGATACGTTTGGCACAGTGTCTCCTTGTTGCTTTCTGAATGTTGTGTCGATTATGAAGAAAATGTCACCCGATTACACATATCAGTTCCACATGACCGGAGAACCCTGTCGAATTGCGAGGATTACTTTAATGATCCAGTTGTGCATGTGACATGTTTTGTTTTGGTAAAGACTGAACAGATTAGCTTGTCTCACTGACCTTTATTCCACTGGTAAAGTCTGTGTTGCTCATCTATTTGTGCTTGACTCTAATATATTCACAAACTCCGCACAAGCTCATTACTTACCAAAGTTGTTTTTTGCTGACCAAACACATGAATGGATTATTATTGGATAATTAGAACATGCTGAAATCAAACAATGAATCTTAAAACTGCTGAACTGAAGATTTGCGAGTATTGTAGCTGTGCATTATAATAATGATAATAAAAACAATAATACATGGGTATAGTTGCGGTTGCACATATTTTTTTCCGCAGGCTCAGTTGTTTGATTTAGGATCCATGCTAGTCATTGCATAGTCTTTAAGCCTACATTTACAGCTAAGGACATGATGCTGTTCCCCTACCTTTAGGAGACATACATTAGGTGCTGCATCCAAGTCAGATTGGCAGAAAAAACATTTAGAGTCTTCTTCCATTGTTCTGCCATATTGGCCTAAACATGCAGTTATTTGAGAAATATTTTAAACAGACTCCATGCAATCTCGTGAATAAGTCCACCTCGTGATCCAAAAGCCTGTACAGCCACCTTTAGCAGCAATAACTTGAAGTAATTCTTTTCACTGTGACTTTCTCAGTCTCTCATCATCATTGTTGAGGAAATTTGGCCCACTCTTCTGGGTAGTGTTGCTTTATTTCATTGAGTATTACATTCATTTCTTGCACATCTCTCTCCTACCACATCATTTCAATGAGATTGAAGTCTGGACTTTGACTGGGTCATTGAGAATCCTTGATTCTTTTCTATTTGAGCCATTCTGTAGTATGTTTTCTGCTGTGGCTGCGATCATTGTCCTGTTGCATGACTCAATTTCTGCAAAACTTTAGTTGTTGGACTCACATGGCCTCACATTTGACTCTAGCACACTCTAGCACACTCACTGATGGTTGACTCAGTGAGCGTAAGGTTCCCAGGTCTTGTGGCTTCAAAACAAGCCCAAATGATCAACCCTCCACCATCGTATTTGACAC